CTGATAAATATATAGAGCGTTAAAGTTTTTTTTTTCTTTCAAGTAAATTGTGAAGTTTCCTCATTTTTTTTTTAATTTGTTGCCCACTTGACTATTTAAAAGAAATAGTTGAAGATGGTTTAAAATTATAAACAAGGGATATGAAAAATTATTTAACTATTTACATATAATGAAAATCAGAAATTTATAATGGTTGTGAGGCCTAGGTAACCTAACCTATCCAGCAGTATGGTTAGTCTCCCCACTACTTTTACCTCAGTCCCCCCCTCCACTTCTCGTGAATGAACCTTTGATTTCCGGATGTTCGGAAATCCGCAGCGCACCACCATCAGTACTTCATTCACTACCTTACACGACAATTCGGAACGTAATTAGTGCATTTCCGATTGACCGTGTAAGGTCCCCTATAAAAATTAAAACATTTATAACAAAAATCGTATGAATATCTATATAAATAAAATAAAGATTTTGTCTGTACATTGAATAGAATCAACCCGTTTTATGATATTTTTCCGTTTCATACATTGCAGACACCAAATCCACTTTTAAAAAAAATTTTGTCTGTCTGTATGTCCGCATTGAAACGAAATTTTGTCAGGGGTAAGCTCAGCAATGGCTAATTGTAGACTTTTGAAATTTTAACATTATATTAAGGTTTTCTTGACTTAAAACATAGACTTTAAATGAAAACAAAATATTGAGTATAACTAAAGTTATGAATTCTTGAGTAATTTGTCTAGAGATGTCGGTTAATGTTGATAATAAATTTTAATAACCAACACATGTTTATAGGTTAAAGAACATCTATATAAATAAAATAAAGGTTTTGTCTGTACGTTGAATAGAATCAACCCGTTTCATGATATCTTTCCGTTTTACACATCACAGACACCAAATCCACTTTTTAAAAAATTGTAATCTGCCTGGATGTTCGCATTGTCCAACGAAATTTTGTCAGGAGTAAGCTCAGCAATGGCCAATGGTAGACTTTTGAAATTTTGGCATTAACTTAAGGTTTTCTTGACTTAAAGTATAGGCTTTAAATGAAAACAAAATATTGAGTATAACCAAAGTTATGAATTCTTGAGTAATTTGTTTAGAGATCTCGGTTAGGCAGTTACTTCGATTCTAATCCCAACCTACTCTACCGCGAGCCACATTTAAAAGTTGTACTACTCAACTGATGGAAAAATTATCACAACTCAACGGGAAAAATCCGGAATACCGAACATCTGTAACGCGTTGTCACATAAAACGGGTAAAACACTCATTTTTCAACTTTATCCGATCTTATCGTTCAATGTCATTCGATTCAACTTTCCGAGCCTAACAAATGTTGTTCTATACATTTTTAGGATTAACCAAACGGATTAGCCGAAAATTAGGAAGAAAAAACCCATCACACAGGAGAGTTTAAAGAAGTGGAGAGACTACAACTCTTTTTGATTAATTAATCGACTCCACAATAGCCTCGCATCATAATAAATGAAAATTGAACACTTAACAGATTTTAATTGATCGGTATTCGTCGGTTTAGTTTTGTGGTACCTAAACAAATAGCCGAATAACAAAGCTTTTGTTATGACTATTGCGAAACCTTGACTTGCGTAAGCCCCGCCATAAAAAAATTCAAAACAACCCCCTTTCGATCCAATTTTATGAAATTGAATTTGGAAACTTCTACCCCAATAATACAAAATCCATCTCAAAAAAAGATTCTCAACGATTAACTAAACACCCGTCAACGAACGATGGGTACATCAGCTAGTAAATAAATAAAGCAGTTTTAAGAGCTTAGACTTCTTGCAGAACTGAAACGATATGGCACGATAATTACTGTACATTAATACAAATTACTGAAATAAAATTACTAGAATTTGTGAGCACTAATAATGACTATTCATTATTCATTAAATAATTAACCAAAATAACTATATATACCAACTCAAAAAGCAACAGGCAGCTAGAATCGATCTCTCGGTCCAAAGAGGTTGCAATCAGCTTGCGCATGGTAAAAGCTAAATTGTCTTGGGACGTTTATCATCCTATATATTATTTCTAAAAGGCGTTTCTTTGTCGGTACGCCATAACTTCGTCAATTCTTCATCAAATCTAATGATTGACCACTCATTTTGAAGATATTCTTCTCCTTTACATACGAAAAATAGTCATACCCCCCTCAAATTTCTGGAAAAATAGTTAAGAAGGAAAACCAACTTTATTTGCGAATAACTCAAAAAGGATGCATTTTTTTCTTAATAGTACCCATGATAATTAGAAAAATTACTAAATTACCTACAAAACAAAAACAAAAAATCGTAAAAATAGATTAGAAATATGTATAATTTAAACAGTTTGTATTGACGGAAGGAGTAATGTGTGTTGAAATATTTTTTAAAATAGAAACAGAGCTGAGATTTGTATATCGTAGCTCGAAAGACCCTCGAATATGAATTTTCATGGCGATCGAAAAATAAAAAAAAATTCTACAAATTTGACCTAAGACACCCTTTTTACGAAAATCACAAGAAGTGTGATAACTTCAATATTCTTCCACCTATTCCTACGAAATTTTGCAGGGATACAGGGCCTTATAATATACACGAAATGACACAAACACCTTCCTAAATAATTTATAACTCAAGTTATAAAATAAAAACTTGTTAGGAGCTTTTATTTATTTACTCTATATAGACGTGTTATTATTTCTCAAAGTTATTTGATTGTTCTTACATTTTATTTTTTTAATAATTTAGGAAATCCCATAATTCGGGCATTTATTACTTTTATTATCTTTAGCAATTTGTAGAAATGTTTTGGTCTATTATGTTAAGAGAAAAATTGTAATTCCTTTTTACATAACACATAGGATCTACTTATTCCCATATTTGTTTGCTATTTCTTCATTAAACAAAATTTTCTGCTAATTATTCGCACGTGCCAACTAGATGAATATAATCCTAACAATTCTATAATTGTCGCAGTTTGTTTTTTCTCCTATGTATGATAGCAATAGGAGACATTTTTTAGGCATCTGTTCTGTAATCCAGGTCTCTATCATTGAGTTGTATATCTGTTTCAGCATAAGTTTGCAGGTCCAGTCTAGTAGTTCTGTTATTCTTCAGAGCTATTATTTCATTCAGAAAATCTTCATAATCTGGCGATTGCAAATCATTGTTATTAACCTCTTCCATTCGTACTCTGACGTAGTTTCGCACTACGCTATTTGTGAATGATTGTCCAACATCATTAAAATATTCTCTCCATGCCTCCATGATTTTTGATGGATCGCTGACATGGTCGCCCTTTTTATTTTCGAGTACTGTAGTTTTGGGTTGGAAACCATTCTTGCATTCCTTCACGCCTTTGTGATATTTTCTTGTCAACTTGTTATCAAAATCACTTTTGAGCATTTCGAGTTTGCTTTTTTCAAAGCTTCTCTTCTTCTGCCTACATACCTTCTTTGCGATCCTTCTCATGGAGGTGTTTGGATGCTCCTACCTTCTTCTTCTTATGCCCACAGTAAACATTCTCAATCTTGCCTCTTTTCTGTCCTTAAGCTCGATTGCATTCCTCATCGTACCATTGCTTACCCGTAATTGTATGCATTGCCTTCAATACCTCTTCGGCCCACACCTTTTTTGATGATTATCTTTTCCTAGTATATTTCTGTATCTCCGTCAGTTCTCTTTAGAAATGATTCTTGTATAATTTCCTTAAATTTATAAGCTTTTGAGGAAATTTTCAAAATTTCACTTTGGTACTTGACAGTTCTTTCTCCTTTCACTTAAGCATTTTATTCTATTCTCTATCTGTAAGGTACTTTAATCAAGAAATAGTCAGTATCTGCGTCTGCTTTCTGGTAAATTCTCACGCCATTGATGTCGGAATAATGTATAAAGTCAATAAGTACATGATCAATTTGATATCTACTTTTTCCATCTGGGGACAGCCAGGTTTCCTTGTGTATTCCCTTATGAGGAAAGTGTGTAATTTTGATCACCATGTCTTTTTCTTGTGCAAACTCTACTATACTTCTAATTCCGTTATAGTTTGATATTTAATGTTTGCCAAACATATCAATAGTTGATCTGAAGATTTTTTTCCCCAATCTTTGCATTTAGATCACCCAATATTATTTTAATAAATATGGTAACAAGTCATATTTCTGTGAGAGTCTCCCATAGAAATCGTCCTTTTCTTCTTCTTCGCTGTCGCTGTATATCAAAATGTACACTGATAATCGAGGTATTAAAGAATTTTCCTTTTAGCCGCATTATACATATTCTCTCCGAGACCATTGTATCTCAACATTAAATACTACAGAGTTTTCCTAATCATGAAGCCCGTTCCCAGAATATTCCTCTCACTCATATCCACTGTTTATTATCATATACATAGGAAACATATTTGCAGCAAAATTATTTTGCTATTGCTTTTCAGTTATATGAAGCAGCTCTTGTTAATCTTTATTTATTCGATATATCCATCCGATTTTTTGGCCTTCCAAGTAGTCTTTTGTCTAATATTAAGGCATTCATAGTTTCGTAGCGGCTTCCTGACGGATTGTTCCGAACTAAATGCACCGCTCATCTTAACCTCATTGTCTTCGTATCATGAAATATTGATTAACTAGTTTCTGTAAGCAGTTCTTTTATCTTCCTCCTTCAAGCATTAGAATTTTTCTTACAAATCTTTAAATGCTTCTTTCTGGGATGCTTGTAAATGTCCTGATGTCGTAGAGATTTTTTGCGTTTTTTTCGGGATTTCAATACATTTGCAAGTATGATTTACTGAAGAATGTGTAATAATATATCCAATTTAATTCATACATACTCAGTGCTTAGAACGGTATGCTTATAATTTTCTCCATTCTATAAACTGATTGTCATTCTCATATGTGACTGGTGCAAATTAAGAGATGAAAAAAATAAAGTGATATAGAAAATTTGTTTTTGTTTCTTTTAAATAAATGTAGCTAACACGTGTTAGCTACCTAGCTACAATGCTGCTAGGCATTATTTATGTTCGATCTTAGAAGGCTACAGTAGTGATAGAGTGAATTTATCGCAGATTAAAGTAGTTGATCTAGATGTTAGACATAGACACCAGTGAAAAAGCACCGATTTGGTTCCAATTAAGGAAGATAACAATCAAAAATTGAGGAAGTTTTAAGGAAGATAATATTGAAAGATTGAAGAAGCTTTAAGCTTTTAAGAAAGATAATATCCAACAAAAATGAGTTATTTTATCGATCGTCCTAAAGGTCAAATAGGAAGCACTTACAAAAATATCATTCAAGGTAATATCAATGAAGATGTATCTATTTTTACTATCTTAAGCCTTGATTTTCGGATTCCTAAATTTGTCCAACCCTAATAACCTAAAATACCTACAGATTTAGGTTGAAATCCGATCACCCTTCGCTTGGATTTATCAAAAAATGTGTGCTGCCGGCACCAGATTTTCAGTATCTCCGGATTTTTCAAGAAAGTCTTGCACGGGCCTCCATACTGATATTTTACCACGAGTCAGAGCCCCTAAGAACATGTCTTCTGGAGCGGTGGGGAATAGACTCTTATTTTCTTGCTCGGTAGTTTGTTATTCAATATTCCGTCTAGAATTGTTCTGCACACTCCTTCACTAAAGCGTCCAAAATGGACTGGACTGTGTAGTCCAGAGTGTCCTGGAATTCTTTGAAGTTCTTCTATGATGTTCTGATAGTGTAGTGCTTCAACTGAAGTCTAGAAACTGCCAGAATTTGTATGGAAAAAATAATCGTGTGAATTGAAGCTGCAATAGAATTCAAGGAATAAGGAATATATAAGATGGAGGTTGCTCTTTTAAATTTTTTTATTTATTGGTGATATTTACAACTGTATTACAAGTAAAAATACATTCAGTAAATGTGAACAAAAGAATATAATAACATGAAATCACTTGTTGAGAAACTAGCCACTGGTAGCACTCTAAAAATGTATTTACAAAAGGAGATCTCGAGGCCATCTTCTTTTCAGACACCTCGGAGGGTTTTCAGGGATCGAAGAGGTAGCAAGGTTAGAAACGAGAGAGTTTGGATGGTTCTGAAGTTTGTTATGGAAGGACAGGTATCTGGATTGGGCCAGGTCAGAAACATAAGGAACATTAAGGTCGTTATGGATGATTTTGTTTGTGACAAAGTAAAGAGCAGTGAGGATTTTACGAAGGATTTTGCATTGTAAGGATTGGATACGAGAGGAATTCGATGGCTTAGTGGAGCCTCAGAGCTCAACTTCGTAAGTCCAAATAGGTCTTATTGTAGTGAAGTATATGAGTCCTTTGTAATTGACTGGTAGTTTAGAGCGTTTGCCTAGTAAGTGCTGGAGTAGTCGGAAACGTCGAGCTGTTCCTTGTCGTTTCAGTCTAGTATGAGGATTCCAAGTTAGACGTTCGTCTAAGTGGAATCCAAGGTATCGAATTTGTTCAACAGGGATAAGTGCGGGATTATTAAAGGTTACTGTAGGACAAGAGGGCATAGGTTTACGACGAATAGTAAAGGTGATTTGATGGGATTTATTGGAATTTATTCTCTTTTAAAAAAGATGAAAAAGTTTCATATTTAGAAGAAAAAAAAAAATTACTATCGGTGCGTCTGGAAGGTGAGGACTGATGGTGAGGTTGTGGTCGGAAACGACGGTAACATGCCGTATTCCACTGCCAAGCACGATTCTATTTAACTGTCCGTCAACTCAACTTTATAAAACATCCATTTATAAAAAGTAATAAAAAACATTTAAATATAAATTCTTTTTATTTTGAGACGACAGATTGAAAGAAAAAAATTAAAAGATATTTGTTAGATGGAAGTTTTGTAGTTGGAAACACAATTCTAAGCTAAAAAAATTTGGTGCTGGAGCTAGTTAACTCTGGAAATATGCATTTTTTTTTTAAATTTCTTTATTGAGTATTATAACAATCTGTCTGTTGGACTATGCATATGCAAGAATATGCATTAGAAAAATTCAGAACTTTTGACTTTTGGCTTATGACCACCGCCTTGAACCACCTCCTTCCTTTATAATGTAACGGTCAACTATTAAATATTCATCAGGACTTTGTATGTTTTTGTAGTTAAGCAGACCCTACACGGTAATTCATGAATGAACGTCACAAGAAGTTCCAAGATTTCCCGCTATCGCTTTGATCATGAAGATCCTTACACGTTCAATCATTACTGATCATTACTTATCGTTGCTGATACCAATTTAGCTCAGTTGTAAACAAAGAAACAACATAGATATGCTTATTTTGACATTGTCATTTATAATATTGGTCATCAAGAGAAAAACTTAGATATAATAATTACTTCCAAGTGCCTGAAAATCGTTTAGATCAAAGTTAGTAAAATATAAGTCAACTACATACAAAAATCTAGGAAAAGTATTGCGAAAATAATCAATTTGTTAAGAAAAATGGAAAAATTAATGGCAAATAAACACAACAGTTAAAGATTTTTTTTCTATAAGTAAATTGTGAAGTTTCCACTTTTTCTCTTCAATTTATTGCCTACTTGACTACTTAAAAAAAATAGTTGAAAATGGTTAATAATAATATAGACTAGAGATATAAACAACTATTTACTTAATAACAAGACCTAGGTAAACTAACCTATCTAGTAGTAGTCTCATAGAAAATCGTTTTGACAAAAGTTTGTAAAATATAAGTCTACTACTTACAAAAATTAAGGAAAGGTATTGCGAAAATAATAAATTTGTTGAGGAAAATGGGAAAAGAACTTATAAATATACACAACGATAAAGTTTTTTTTTCCCTAAAGTAAATTGTGAAGTTTCCTCATTTTTTTTTTTTAATTTGTTGCCCACTTGACTATTTAAAAGAAATAGTTGAAGATGGTTTAAAATTATAAACAAGGGATATGAAAAATTATTTAACTATTTACATATAATGAAAATCAGAAATGTATAATGGTTGTGAGGCGTAGGTAACCTAACCTATCCAGCAGTATGGTTAGTCTCCCCACTACTTTTACCTCAGCCCCCCTCCACTTCTCGTGAATGAACCTTTGATTTCCGAATGTTCGGAAATCCGCAGCGCACCGCCATCAGTACTTCATTCACTACCTACGTCATTAGTGCAATTCCGATTGACCGTGTAGGGTCCCCTTTACAACAAATCTTTATTCTGAGCATCTTACACCAAGGGGCAATCCCAAGCCATCGGTACTTTCCACAGTTGTCTTTGGAATCAGGCCATTTGTTGATAACACAATTGGCGTTACCATAGCGCTTTATTATCATATCACTATTTTGCTGTTTAATTATTTTTATTTATTTTACATAGAGTGTAGAATGAGCTACTTTATGACTAATAATACAGTCCTTAATTGTGGCTAAATGAAATGTTTACTCAATAATGCTACATGTGAGAAAAAAATAATAGTTATTTATTTATTTTTGGGTCCTCCCCTTCCCCGCTGTTAAGGCTATACGGGGTTTTTCCCCGGCCAGGGAGTGTGGACGGGAATTTAAAAGACTCCCTCGGCACCGGGACGCGAACTCGTGACTATTTTTATATCTTTGATTCATATATCAGGTTGTCGGGCAACGGCGGTGCTGTGCACACGCGTTAGCCCATTCGGCTACCCCGCCCACGAAGTAATAGTTATAACCAAATTTTCAAGAATACAATAGAATAATAGGTTCGATGTCGACACCACCAATCGCTTATTACACACCTCCCTCCACCGTTCCCTGTCCAAACCCAGTCCCTTCAGATCGTCTTTAACGCAATTTCCCCACCTTCGCTTCGGTCTACCCCTCGGACGTTTACCATTCGGTACTGCAAATATTTAACTTTTAGGAATTCTTTCATTACTAAGCCCAACAATTTTACAAGTCCATTTGATTCGCCGCGATGCAATCACCTCAATTATATTAACCGGATAAAGTTCACACAATGCGGCTTTGTGTAACCGTCTGAACTCTCCGGTTAACTCATCCTTCTTTGGTCCGAATATTCTACGCAATACTTTATTTTCAAAAACCTTGAGACGTTGCTGATCCCTTAATATAAGCGGCCACGTTTCGCATCCATAAAGAACTGTAGGTAAGATAATGGTTTTATAGATTCCAGTTTTTATTGTTCTGGACAAGAGGTGAGTAGTTTTTCCACAGAAAAGTAACAGTCTAACCTTAATCTCTTCTTCAGTTTCGTTTTTTTTTTCTAGTATTGTAGACTCTAGATGCCTAAACTTCTCTACGTGTTCAAACATATTATTTTCTAAATCGATACCACCTGCAAGACCGAATAAAAATTAAATATTTATGCAGATACTCAATCCCATTGACCATGATAACATGATGGCACTATCAAAGTGCGTCTACACTGATAAAATAATAGTATAATAATAATTCCGTTAGCTTAATAACGTTAATGATAAAATAACAGGTAGTTATCATATTGCACAGTGATTCTATGTCATTTATACTATACATGATTTATTTTTGTATTACAGAAATTAAAAAAACAGATGCGTTTAGCAACGAGACAGAAGATTCTCTTCTGACGAAAATACTTGAAGGAACGCTTGAAGAAGAAAAATCGATCGAAGCATGCCGGAAACTTGTCGGTATGAAGTCCAAGGTAGTAAAGCCGTGGCATTTGGAAAAAATGGTAAGAAAATTGGACGAATTGAAAAGTGATATATCCAAAGATTGTAAAGAACAATTCAAGGAATACGTAAAAGAATTATGCGGAATTGAAGTGTTCCACGATTCCGTTTCGATGCATATACCAAAACCGACAAAAGAGAAGAAAGTTACGGCGTTGCACAAGGACGCAGAGAGGGTACTTGAGTATTTGAGGAAGAGGGATGAGTTGAACAAGATCTTGCTTAAGGAAGATGATTCGGTCAAGAAATTAGAAGAAAGTAAAGGTTTCAATTCCGAACGCTCACGGAAGAGAAGAGAAATCAGTTCCAAAATGGTAATTTTTTACATCCTCAGTTCGATAGTTCGTGAACGATTTCAAATCGATTATTCATGAAAGTAAAAATGACCATACAATAAGGATATTCACGTAACCGGTGTGTATTGTAAACCTATTAAATGTGTTAAAGTCGAGAATAACTAAAAAACGCTACAAATTATTAAACAATGGTTTATTATTTCTAAAGAATCATACAACAAAAGAAATATTACTTTAGTTGTCACATAAAGGAAAACAAATAAAAGCTGACTCCTAATACTTGCCTAAATAGTATGTTTTATTCAACATTGCTAATTTTCTAAGAAAAATAGAGAACATTGCTTAAGTTAATGTAAAATTTTTCAAAAACCAAAACAAAGGATAGATATGAGCTTAACAGTAGAACATATCGCTAAACCAAATATTAAAAACACAATAATTTCTTTATGGTTTATTAGTATAATATCATATTTTATTTTCCTCTGATATTTTCAAATTCAACAGACTACTTTCAGCAGTTGCAGACTACAAAATGTCACCTTTAGTGTAATGAGAATAACTATGTAAAAATGTTACATACGATCTTTAACACTAACAGTAGCGATATGGAAAATATTTAGGGTACCATATCTTTGCACCAAATTATCCGATTTCGACAAATAAATATTCTCGGGATACTAACTAAAAAAAATCTGGTGCGCGCAACACACAACTTTCACTTACCGCTCTACTTTGATTAGAAATTATTTTCTGGCAATGCTGGGCTATTATAAAATTTTTTGAAGCGCATTTTAAACGGAGCTAAAGCTTAAAGCTTTAGATAACAAGTCATTAAGATCATTATAATTACAAAATGTCTATTTAATATATCGACGACAGGCAACAAAAATCTATTCACTCTATCTGCTTTTATAAACCACCCAACTTTCTTTGCTTTTATAAACCACAGAATGACTAACTCCAATTTCAACATTTTTAAGTGAAGTCATTTTAGTGATATTTTTAGTTGAAAAAGTTATCTATGCAGACAATGAGTAAGTTGATTCCAGGGGTGGTGATTGCAGTGTTGAAATATAGAACTGAGAATAAAGGTATAAATTTAGGTACTACTTTCTTATGAAAGATGTTCTTAGGAAAGACACTTTATTAAATATCTGTAGGAAAAAGGTTTTTTTAGTCTCAACAATTAAAAAAATATATTTTAAATTTATCCAAATTTTCACCTCTTCAGGAAAAAAAACCATATAAAATATCCACAAAAAAGTGTATGCTTTTTGAGTTATTCGGAATTTAATTTTGCCATCCCTCGTAACTTTTTTCCAGCTTCTTTTCGTTGAAGTATGTTATATAGATAAATTTAAAGGATGTCGAGAAAATGACTTAAGCGAAGTTTTATTGAAATCGGTACATTTGTTTAGGCGCTACAATCTATAGCAACGCGGGTTTTTCTGCAATTTTTATTCTTTTTTCTCCTTTATTAACTTATCAAATTCTTTCAAAAGTTATATTTAGCATTTTTTCGTAACTCTGAATAATGCGAAATGATTAACTTTTTTAAATAAACCATATTAAAGGTACTTTAGAAGAAGAAGTGACATCAACGGGGATAAGGCCTAAATGATATTAAAGACCACTTAATTATACAATGATACACCGAGTTTGATCAAAATCGTTAGAGCCGTTTTTGAGAAAATTGTAAAAATGTGTTTCAGCGTTCATATAAAGTGGCACTATCGGTTAGACGATTTTAACGAAAAAGTTGCTGTCACATCCGACTCATATACAAACCTTAAATACTTAATATCAGTTTCGTACTATTTTTCCTTTATGAGCTAGACTGTGAACACACACACACAGACTTGGTTATTTGGACTCAAGGGACTTCAAAACATGTATTTCCGTTGAAAAGTGAGATTCGAATATTTTCACTATCGCAATAATTGCCTTACTATATATTACATATTTACATAAGGGAAAGTAAAAAAACAACTTTATTGGTATCAAATGGTTACAATTAACAAAACATTAGTTCTTAATTGCACTATGCTATTAACGAGAGTCATGTCTGTTGGTATGTCGCTGACTGCTTGATCGACTGATCAACTGAGTGCTATCTGCTCCAAAGGGCTTATATATATATATATATATATATATATATATATATATATATATATATATTATATATATATATATATATATATATATATATATATATATATATATATATATATATATACAATTCTGAAGTGCTGGCTTCAGCTATGACGATAAGGGCTGCCCTAAAGATAAATTTGATGATATTCTTTTTTCTCTATTTTTTATAGAAAATTTCGTAAAATCTTAAGGGACAAGTGTATACTTTTTGAGTTATTTGGAAATCTAATTTTATCATCCCTCGTAACTTTTTTTCCAGCTTCTTTTCGGTGGAGTAATATAGATCAACTTAAAGGTAGTGGAAGGAGGAGATTTTAGCCAAGTTTAGCGTTACATTCGTTTAGGCGCTGCAGTCTATATGGTACAGGGTTTTTTGGCCGCCATCTTGATGGGAAGTACTTTTAAGTAAAGTAGGTTATATACAATAGAACCTCGCAGCTCTTCATCAGCCTCATATGGAAATCTCGGGTGTCTTCGGGAGTCATCGGGTCACATCGCTGGCTGGTTGGTGGCCTAGCGTTTTCACACTGCTATCCTAGCTTATTTTAAGCATAATTTTCTTTTTCTGTCAAAAGGTGGAATTGCTTCATGGATTACAAGAAGTCAAGACCGGAATAAGCCAGATCGAGAAGGCCTTGAAATCATTCAACCAATCATCAAAGGTAGCCTATGCCAAAGTGATCTCAGGAAATTTTGAGAATATCAAGGCGAGGTTATTCGGTCTTGTCGATAAGACCAAGCTATTTGAAAACGAATTGAAACAATTTATAAAAGAGGGGAAAAAATCCTTAAAAGGTATACCAGATTACATCGACGAAGATTGCGAGGTCTGCAATGAAAAGGAAAAGGTAAATATATTGATCGAGGTGTGTATATTAAATAACGATAAGCTGTAAACCTTTTATTTTGATTTCATATATATTTACTTATTATCAGGTACAATATACACCCTAAATTTCACCCCACCATCAAAAATCTTGGAATAACCATTGATCAAACGCTTTCTTGGAAAAATCATATATTCAACATTTCCCGCTGTACCATTTCCATCCTAAAACGTCTTAACTACTCCCGTCACCTATTTCCTTTTGAAACCCGTAGGCTCCTAGTCACTTCCTTAATTTTTCCCAACTTTGACTATTGCTGTACGGTATATGGGGGCCTCTCTGGGGATCTCGTGGCGAAACTAAAACGTTTGATAAATTGCTTTGTACGATTCATTTTTGGAATCCCAAGGGACGCCTCTGTTTCGCATCTTTACGCGGAGTTAAAGTGGCTTTATCCTTCCTACCGTCGTAAGTATTTCCTGGCATCCTTCCTCTTTCAAGTCATCCAATCCCACCGTCCCCCATACATCTCCGAGCTCCTTCAATTCAAATCCTCTATTCGTTCCCGCAATAATCGTTCCCGGTCTTCTGATTTATACATAAGGGCCCACCGAACCGCTGCTTTCGACAAATCGTTCATTATCCGATCCCCATCTCTATGGAACTCCATCCCTTCCCATATCCGTCAATCTAATACCCTTCCTACCCTTAAATCCCGCCTGTTCAATCATTTCTTATCCATCCAGTCCCCATAAAATCGTAAATAGATACTACTGAAAATATGTACATAAGTTATTAGTTCGTTCTTCATTATTTGTACTCCAATTTTTGTTTATCTATTTTTTTTTCTCTTTTATTATCAACTGATCAAAATTGGAAAGCAACTTATATGTATATGTGTATATATATATATATCATTTTTTTAAACCAAGACTGTTCAATTACTCTGTATTTTTATTTATATATCTCTGAGGCTCCTTAGCCCTCATTTCTGTCTTCCTGTATTAATCTAAAGGGACTCGTCCCAGAATAAATAAAGTATTATTATTATTATTATTAAATAGGACCCTTTGCTAAATAGGAATTGCTTTGACATGTCTTAACAAAAAAAATCTGGTGTGTCCACTCACACGATGTTCCTACCTATTTCAGAAAAGTTTTTATATCTTTACATATGTTCATGAAGAACCAAAAAAGAATTGAACTAGATACATTTTCCTGAAAATTGATCAAACATAAGATTTGAGTACGATTTATTTGATAAACTAAAGCAATGTAAACCGGCTTAAGGTAGATCAGTGTAAAAATTACAATACTTCCTAATATTGCTGATCAAACACTTTTTGGCATTGCTTAGTATTGACAAACAATAATTTCTGTTAAAAGTATAGGAAATAGTGAAGGTTGTGTGATGCGGGCAACAGATTTTCTTACTTTCACTTAGTCATATATTTTACTCCTATTCAATCCTTTCTGATACCAGGATATGAAACCGTAATCTTACATCGGAAATAGAATAGCTGTAACTTCGTTAATATTTGTCCAAAATGAACGATTTTTATATGGCTTTGTAGGAAATTTCATTACCTTTCAAACGACAGGTGTGTGGTACGATTCGCTGTGTGTGGTACGAACCCCCCGTGAAATTCTGAATCCAACGGTACCCCATTCAGGGTATTTGAGCATGACAGCTTATATTTGGTACAAAACTGATTTCGAGCCTTACTTAATAATATATGTACGGATTCTGTCTTCCTTAGAGGGTGATGAACTAGAATAGGATTTTTAACCGCAAAAGATGTATGAACCCTACGTCAGTTCGTCTGAAATGGTGAAGTTGGAGTGTGGTTTCTACTGCTTTTTGGGCATCCAATGTGCAGCAAACTTACTTCAGGACGCCCTATCGTTCACATATGCCGCTTTCATAATTACTATTGTTATAATACCACCATAATTTTATCTCATCACCATTTTATTTTCTCTTTCTCTTTTTATTTTATATTTATTTATGTATATATTTTTTTATTCTATTTATTATGTATCCTGTATTTTTACCAATTATTCTGTAAATATTTAATTTAATTTATGGACACAGTAATATGTCTATTTATAATTTGTTCAAAAGTTACACTAGTCCCAGGTTCTATAGAGCCTTCTCTGTTTTATAAATCAGTCGCTTCTTCCCGCAGGAGAAGGACTTATTTTGCAGGTCTATTATTGTTTAAGCTGACCAACAACTCATTCTGCAGAAATGGGACGACAGACAGACAACCAGACACCTATGCGACCCGATGACAGCCGAAGACGCCCGAAATTTCCACACGAGGCTGGTGAAGAGCGGCGGGATGAGAGGCCTCGTAGATCAGATCAAGAGCCTGCTCAGCTGCGAGACCACTGACACACAAATCGCTCTCCCGACCCTCTTCTGTTCGATGACAGATCCCAAGAGAGCCGACGATCTGTACAATCTGATAAGCGTAAGTGTTCCAAACCCAACCAGCTGAATTAATTCAGCAATGCATATATAATTATAATCTATTCATCTATCTCGGCGATACAACTTCTTTTCGTTGAAGTATGTTATATAGGCAAATTTAAAGGGCATCGAGGAGCAGACTTTAGCGTTGAATCGGTACATTCGTTTAGGCATTACAGTACAATACAACGTATGTTTTTCGGTCGCCATCTTGAAAGGAAAATGCGGATAGAAATGGCGATGAAGGAGGATCATCCACGGGCGATCTCTGATTTTAAATCCAAATTTGAAAAAAATCGATCCTGTAGTTTTGGAGAAAACGCGGTGTACGGCTTACGGACAAAATAATTTTTATTCTTGTTTCGAATTCTACGTATCCTGAAACGTAAAACCTTAAATTTTGAGAGGGGATTTAGTTTTTGATTTTTTTGTTCGATTAAATGGTGCATTGTTGAAAATCATTAACCAAAAAAAAATGTTTTAATTAAAAGTAAAAAAAAACCCGACTTCAACTATTGGTAAATTCTATCCATCCAGAGGGAATCTGCGTCCATATCTACAGAAATATCTTGGTAGATTGATATACGAATATACAAATATATATCTTTGTAGATTGATTGCCATATACGAATTTTTAAACTTGGTGTAGTGGTTCCTATCACATCTCAAGACTCTTTCGGATGTTGACATGGACCGATACATGGGACGAAATATATTTGGCTAGAGCCGTAATGTGTAGTGAAAGGAACCCGACCACTACACCAAGTTTAAATATTCATATATATATATATATATATATATATATATATATATATATATATATATATATATATATATATATATATATATATTATAAATAAACTATATAAATATATATACATAATTATAAATATATATATATATAAAATATAAATAAACTATATAAACATTTCCTTATCAAAATGTTTCAGTAGATATGAAAGAAAGAACATTTCCTGAATGTAGATAGAATTTTTCAATTTCTGCAGTCGAGTTTTGTTAATTAATTTAAAAAAATATATACACTGACAGGCAAAAAATTCCATCCACTTGATTTTTTCATCTAAAAATATTTCTGCTTTGGATTGGTCTATTGTTTTTAATGAATAAATAGGTAATCTTTGTGTTTGTTTTCAATTAGGAATGTTAATATAGAGGACAATAACCCTTAATCCTTAATTCAATGAAATGATTCTAGATTCCAATGTTTACTTTCTATGGAATTAAAATTTTTATTCAGTATCATTAGTTCAGTGCCGTTTCTTGCAGCACATTTCTTAGTCTCCGGCTTTTAAAAATGCCTCTTAGTGCTGAGGATGTTGCACTTGGTGTGGCACTTATTGATGATGGACGTTCCATTAGATATGCAGCTAATGCCATCGGAGTTCCATATGAAACTTGACGAGACGCCATCAGGGAAACTGGTTATTACAATAGAAGGCCCGGTTCTGGACGGCCTAAGGTGACAGAACCACGGGATGACCGGTTTTTGACTTTGAGAATTTTACGAAACCGGCACCTTACCGTTCTTCAAGCAATTCATCAGCTCGAAGAAGTTCGAAGTGTGCAAATTTCTGAACGTACCGCTCGGAGAAGATTAAATGAGTATGGATTAATGGCTTTTCGTCCAGTAAGAGAACCAGAGTTTACCAGAACTCACAGAGTAACACGGCTGCCTTTTGCTCGAGAACAAAGCCATTGGACTATGGACGAATGGAGTGCTGTACTTTTTACAGATGAGTCAAGATTCGCTCTTCGATCTCCAGACGGGCGTGAAAGGGTGTGGAGAAGAAGAAACGAAAGATATGCAGCGTGTAATTTTTCCCAGAGCCAACCTTTCCAACGTGGTTCCTTAATGGATAACAAGTGGGTGGAATTTTTTGCCTGTCAGTGTATATTGTTCCCTTCTTAAATCGATAGAAATAGGAAGGTATAGTGGAAATATATTAAATTCTGTAAATACAAATAAATTCTGTTTGTGGTACCTCACTCGTCCTGGAAAAGAAGAAACCCAGGAACGTACACTTCCTAAGACAGTTCCTGTCCACAAAACCAGGGAATCACAATAACCAATATTAAAAAAAAAATACAATTTAGTATTGTACATTATGCATTAAACTGTTAAAACATATTCATGTATTTCATTTAATTTTTTTTTCAGGAAAATAACTTCCTTAAAGAATTTAGGAACGAAATATTTAAAAAATCGAAGTTGCATAAATCTTCTAGAACCGTAAAAAAAGAATGCATGGTTTGTGGTGTTACGTTGAACAGGTGTTCATTTTAGTATCATTCATGAATATTAAAGATTTATAATAAACTTCAAAGCTTTTTTTTTATTATTATTTATTTAATTATTAGATGAAATTGCACCTGCCAGTTCTCTATCCCTTTCTGCTAAAAAAAAAAAAAAAAAAAAAAAAAAATGAAAAAGAAATAAGAAGTAAAATAAAAACTTATAGTTATTTTTCCAGCCGGATAATTGGCATTCATTATATTATATTTAAATTAAATATTGTTTTTAAGCTGTTGTACTTGGTTTGTCCCTAAGATATTCCAGACCACTTCAAAAAAATTAGTTTGTTAACATAATTTAAATATCAATGTATTAAGCCAGATAACTGTTATAGCCTAAACAATTACCATATGTTTACTTATATTAAAATGAATGTACGTCATATGTTTTTAGTAGTAGTATTATTCAATGTGCTGATATGTGTGTGTTAAAAATAAAAGTTTATTAAATTTCAACTTATTCCATTTCTAAGATTAACAGACATTCCCAGAATTTCCAATAGTGACAGTTCGGTGTAGGATTGTTGGAAAATCTGGCATGCTCCGATATTCCTCATCGATTTTGATATCGATATTAAAAATATCGAATGATATATATATATATAACAAAATGAAATTGTTAAGATACTTATCAAGTCGATTGCATAAAAAAATTCAATAAGTGACTTCTCATAACCTTGAATCACTTAGCACATTGATGAAGTTTCTCTTTGTTATTAAGATAATTGTACACTTTAAATATTTGACGTATAAGGATTATTGATATATAAGGGTTTGTTCTTTTTAGACCACTTACGTTATAGTTCATCGATATGTACTTATGTTACTATCTACAATAGGCCGACGATGTGAGCTGTTTTGTTTGATAATATTGTAACTCGATTTTGTTATATATTACAGACATTTTAAAGTGAAAAAGGAACAGAGGGAGATATTGTATACATGTTTTTTCCAGAAAAGGGTTTGATCAAAGATTATTGCAAGGTTCTTAACGGTGGGATAAAATTTGAAGGGATTATCATGTAGGAGCAGTGTCGGGATTTTAGCTGCAGTTTTAAGAAGGCATTTAGAGCCTATCAAAATTGCCTTATGGCGTCTTATAGGTCAAAAGGAGGAAAGGACAGTTGTATTTGGAAACCATCGACATAAATGTACTATTGGGACTGATGGATCAGGAGGGGAAGATCATAAATGCAATAGCAAACAGAATGGGAGATAAGGAGGAACCCTGAGAGACACCTCAGAAAAGTGGAACTGTCTTAGAAGGAGGCTGACCTGGGACGACTACATACTGGGATCGATCTGAAAGGAAGAATTTGAACCACCGCAAGACACTGATAGATAGAGGAAGATTTTTAGAAAGGAGGATGTAGGGGACAACTGTGTCAAATGCTTTGGGAATATCTAGGAGGATAAGCATAGTGAGTTTTTGGTGTTCGATGGAGTTTGGAGGGTGTTAACGCCGCATAGGCTCATATTTTCATTATTTTTTTCTCACCACTAACCCTTTTTAAATGTTAATAATTGAATGTTTATTATTTTTTTTGTAATATGCCTCTCTTGTAATATTATTTGCCTTGTAATATGAGTGTTGTCTCTGAAATGTATTTTGTGTATATTATTTATATGCTTGGGTATTATTCGCGATGTATTGTCGCAGTTTGTGTATACGCTCCAGCCCGGCAGTAATGCACTGTCTTAGGGATTAAGACACAAATACTGCGATAATACTGTTGGGTCAGTCTGGAGATAGCGCTTGTTGACACTAGACCCATGTAGTGGAAGTCTACCCCCACCAGTCCAGACTCACCACATCTCACCTAGCGCCATTTTCGAGGATCAGCTGTTAGGCGCAGCTGAGTAATCGATCGATATCGATACATATCTAGACATCCAAAGGTAACCAGGTGGAATCTCCAACCTGGCTCGTATTTTTGTTTTATATTCTCACCATCACAAAGACATTAGTACATTAATTAATTTTTGTTTCACCTATAAATTAGTTTTATTCTTTTGGACGATTCTCTTGTTTTATTTACAATTTTAGAAATTGATTTTCTTTGCTTTATTATTAATTGTTAATTTGGTTTTATGTTTACTGAGTATTATATTTTGTGTTTTTTGTTCATTTCAGTGAACTTCATACCACTCTTTATTTGGTTTTTAACTATTGTATATATTTTATATCTCTTTTTTGTATTCAATACATTTGTAAGCATTTAAAAGGGTATTTCTTATTTACCATTTTTATTTATTGAAATAATTTTATTTTTTAATATTTTCTTGTGCATGCACATTTTTTTTTTTATGTTTTACAGGTCTCATTTTACTCCTTTTATTTTTTCCTTCTTTCCCAATATTTAATTTTTCTCGAATTTTCCCACCATTGAGGAAACGCACCGGGGAAAAGATTTTTACTTCGATTTTGAAGTACCCCTGACCCCAACAGAGGGCATGGGTTATTTTGAGGAAGGCAGATTGCGTTGAGTCGGCAGCAAGTAGAAGATCCTGCAATGAAATCACAATAATGAATTTTAAGTTCGAAAATGTACCCACATTCTTATATCTTGGTTCTGCCCTAAATAATGAAAATATAATCAGCAAAGAAATAGACAATAGAATAATGGCTGGTAATAGAGCTTACTATGCAAACCTAAAACTTCTCAAGTCCCCTTTGTTGTCAAAAGCCACATTTATTTTAGCTGGTGTTTATCGCAAGAGGACTGCCGTAAACTAAATGTATTTGAAAGGATAATAATAATAAGCATTTACGGTGCTACAAGTGTTAATGGTGAGTGGAAAATCAAAAGTAATAATGAAACCGAGGCTATACTAGAGAATCAAAACATTATTAACTATTTCAAGGAAAGTAAGCTTAGATGGGCAGGACATCTAGTCAGAATGGAGAATGAACGGGTTCAGAGAAAAATATTGGACACTTCAGTGAGAAGAGGAAAAGAGGAAGACCGAGAAGTAAATGGAAGGATGAAGTGGAGAGACATGCAAAGAAGCTAGGAGTTCGCAATTGGAAGAGAGTAGCACAGGACAGAGAGAAGTGGAGAAAAATAACTCAGGAGGCCAAGGGTCATGCTGGCCTGTAGCAAGGGGAGTTAGTTAGATTGCGTTGAGTAGCCAGTACGAAATCTAGATTGGAAAGGGTTGATTAGGAAATGTTCCGCTAAGAAATTGAAAAGTTGATTTAGGATGATACGTTTCAATGGTTTTGAAAGGTTGGAAAGGAGAGAAATAGAACGGAAGTCATGAACTGAGGAAGGATTTGAAGTTTTACTCAAAGGTCAAACTAAGGTGGTATTCCAGGAAGACCGGGATTTTGAGTTTTGCAAAGAAACGTTGTTTTAGTTGTGGCTATTTTAAATCCATTGATTTCATATATCAGGTTGCCGGGCAACGGTCTTGTTGTGCACACACGTTAGCCCATTCGGCCACCCCGCCCTGGACACTATTGAACTGTAGAATCGACAAATTATTGATAAAGGATCTACCTTGAGAAAACACTTTCCTACCGTCTATTCAAGATTGGAAGCGAAACGGGTCCTCCATGATTCATGCCTTTAGGACAAAAAATTAACCCCTTATGTTCCTGTTGTGGTGTTCCGGAAACCTGTGAGCAAGTCGTTATGACCCGCACCCGCTCTTGAATCAATAAGGGTCAAACTATTGAGGGAAACTGGACTCTACACGTAAAATCCTCAACGCTCCTTACTTTGTCACAAATAAAATTATCCATAAAGACCTTAATGTTCCATATGTTTCCGATTTGGCCCAATCCAGATACCCGTCCTTTCATAACAAACTGCAGAATCCTCCGAATCCTCTCGTCTCTAACCTTGCTTCCTCTTCTATTCCTGATAACCGATCTTTTCGATTCCGAGGCGTCTGAAAAGAAGATGGCCTCGGGTCTTCTAATATAGAACTTTAATTTGAGTTCTACCAATGGGTAGTTTCTCTTCATGTTGTACATGTCATGTTACCAATTTCACATTTACTTATTATATTTTCTATGTAATACAGTTGTAAATTCCATTAGTAAAAAAAAAAAAAAAATATTCTACCTACATTTTTAGTCCATATCTTTCATCTTTTTAATTTTAATTCCTTATTATTCAATGTTTATTGTTTCTCATACCTATTGTTATCTGGCCTGTACTTATTGTTCTTCGTAGCCCTGATGAAGGCCTACACTTCGTAACGAAACGTCGGTAATATAAAAATAATTATAATTGTTATTTTTTTTAATTTATGCTCCCAAGGAATGAATGTCGACCGTCCAATTCTGATTTGTAAAAGTTTGGTTATGCCTGTAAAATAACTCCCTAGGTATCAAATATGGCCCTAGGACAAAAAATTAACCCCTTATGTTCCTGTTGTGGTGTTCCGGAAACCTGTGAGCAAGTCGTTATGACCCGCACCCGCTCTTGAATCAATAAGGGTCAAACTATTGAGGGAAACTGGACTCTACGCCATCATAAAGGACAATTTCCTTCAGTTAGTTAGCAAGGATAACTACCAGTACTAGGTAGCCTTCGTGCACGGGTGGAAAACAATTGATAATTTAAACCTCATCCAATAATTTAGAAGAGAAAAGAACTAGAAACAAGTGGTAGAAATAGCACGATACTTCTAACAAAATCCGTGTTGCCGAAAAGCAAGGAAGGAAGAAAATGAATAAACAATAATAATAAGAAGACCTAGCGATGAAGAAGGTTCGATGCCGATTCCACTAATCGATGACTACGTTCTTTCGTCTTAAACCCAAGCCAGATCAGTCCTAACGCAATCCTCTCACATTCGCTTTGGTCTACCCCTCAAACGCTTGCCAGTTGGCACAGCGCATATTAAGTTTTTAGGAATTCTAATCCCAGCGAAATTTTACATGCCCATTTTATTCCTCTAAACTTAATCATGTCAATTATATTAACCGGATACAGTTCAGGCAATTCAAAGTTGTGTAACCGCCTAAATTCTCCAGTTGACTCACCCTTCTTCGGTCCGAATATTCAATACTTTTTTTCAAAAATCTTAAGACGTTGCTCATCCCTTAATGTAAGCGGCCACGTTTTCCACCCATAAGGAACCGTAGGAAGGATAATGATTTATTATCATTATATATATATATATATATATATATATATATATATATATATATATATATATATGAGTTATATACGAGACTAATGTCTCGCCTTTAATCTAATCTTAATCTCCTCAATTATTATTGATATACTATATTATAATATATAATAGATATAATATATTAGCTACAAAATTTATTATTCAATCCAAATCAACTGTTTTACAATTCAATTTATGACAATAATCGACACAGTTTCAATTCACATTAGATAAAGCGCATATGTTTTTGTTTGTTATTTAACAGTTCCAATAGAATTCGTAGTGTCATTGTACAATTATTATCTTAAGCAATCAATAATGGTACTTGATAGTGGGGGTACGTCTTTGTACATTATAAGTGGTGCTCAGAACGATCCTTCGCAAAAAGACATTATAAATGAAGAAGCAAAGAAAGAAATGATGGAAAGTAAGTATAAAAATGTTGTAATTGGTATAATGTGGTAATGGAGTAGAGTATTTCAGTGAGCTAGGCACTAAGCTGCTAAGTTCTTCCCAGCTTAGGGCCTGGGTTTGAATCCGGCCGCAGTCAGGTAATTTTTCATCAGCCGTGGATCGACCTTGGGGTCGGGAGGCCTTTCTTGGGCACACCCAGCCTCTATAAAGTGTGTATTTTTAATGAATAAAGGAGAGAAACCTGGCAGTTGGTATTTTTTAAATGGTTGAGAGGAAGGGACAAACATTTATAGCAACGAGGACGACGCAATGTTGCAGCTCTCACGATACTTGTGATAACTCATGGAGGTCTTTACACTTGCGAATTTGGTACAAGTGTCCCTCTAGTTTGACACGTGGTACAAGATCCCACGATCACGCTATAAATATGATTTCGGGAGTGGACAAAGATTGACAACTTGTTCACAGTGTAACTTCCCTTTATTTAGATCGAGATTTACGACTTCCGCAAACCTACAGCTGGCCCTTTTCATTAAAAATCGGAACGTTAATTAGCTTTAATCAGGGATGCCCATGAGGTAGTTTCATGACCCAAATCGCGCCAACAAAAATTTTGAAGGATGCATACTTTGACAGCTTTTTGAATTTTCGCGAGGGGCATGAATTTTCGGAATAAGAGAAAAGGGAGGAAGGAACGTAGAACAGATTGCAGCAAGTGTAATTGTATATGATCTACGATTTTTCTGATTCTACCTTAGCTTCTTCTGTTTTTAAGAAAAGTGAGCAATAAAATATCGTGGGATGAGTGGGGCAGGCAGATACTTGGGGGAAATAGGCAACTCTGGATTTAATTACATCGCTGCTTTTGACTCACGCTTGCTAAGCTCAACAGCTCGAAATATCCATACTGATTTTTGAGGAAATTTGCATAAAACGTCTGTATTCGGTGTACATCGTACATCGCTACAGTTAGGAAAAGGATAATTAGTTGAAATAAAAATAAAAAATATGATAAGAAACATTGAAAGTAGAGAGCTATTCATCAATTCGTAGTAAGGTAAAGAACGCTGAACTTCTGTTTGTGCTTTTTATTTTTTCACATTTAATTTTTCCAAACTGATCTAAAAGACAATCCTGGGAGTTTTCTGTTATTACAAACGACGCTTGATTTTAAAATTGAATTTTTTTTTTGTGTTTTTAATAGCCTAAGCCAATTATTTTTTTTCATGTTTTATTATTCTCTGACTATCCAGCTTTAACAAAAGACTAACTATGACGATATTAAGCCAAATGCTGATTCTCACTGACCAAAAAAGTAACTAAAGTCAAAGTCGTTAGTCCGCCATGTTTAGACGCCATTTTGGGGCAGTTCGTTCATTTTTTTTTTGTGGGAACATTAGTTTTTTTTTTTTTATAAATAGGTACAAGGATATGCCATTTATAGGAATGTGAGAGGGGTTGATGCACGGTAGGGGGGTCTGACCCACGGACTATTTGTCTTACCACGCTCCTTGGATTGACCAGGTCTGTTTATCTTTCTTATCTTAGTTTTCTCCTTTTTTTCCCTCCTTCTCGTCACTCTATTTTCCATATCTCCATCTCTATTTTGTATATTTTGATAAATTTGCTAAATTATCTTTTTTCCATTTCGATTCGAATTCATGCCAGAAGTGCGATTCCCAAAACTCTGTTTTCATAGACTTAAATCATTATACAAGGATAAGTCTGACATAGACTTCAATTGGGTATCTCAATTTAGAGCAATATCCGAGCTTAATGCCTTTGCAGAAGAGCTTTCTGTTTACCTCACAAACGGACTTCTTCGATACAAAGACGACATCCTGGAAAAAGCACACAACCACTATTTCTCAGCCGACATACAAAGAACTCTAAACTCCACTAACTGTCCTTTATACAGGATACTATGCAGTTACAATGATCCCGATCCCGAAACGTACCTTACATTCAAAGTCGATATAAAGAAATTGAGATGTGTCATTCAATTAAGAGTTGCAAAATCCGAACATATCAGAATCTATGCAAAAAACAAAACTTTTTCGATTGAGTCTCAAGAAACTTGTATATCATGCAGTCAATTTATCTACAATAGTCTACATCACATTCTCCTTCACTGCCCAGCATACTATGACTATAGACAAAAATTCCTCCATAACTTCATTATGGAGTTATGGAGGAAAAGCCATTCTCAGAATCTTCTGATAACCACAACATCGAAACCGTATTGAATATAGATTGTATAGATAAGTTAAATAAAGTTTACTATTATATGATGGGAATACACAAAGTGCATACACGAAATTGTTGTGCATAGCCCATGTTCTATTAAGTGTTTGTTTTTAGTTTATCTTAAAAGTAATAATTTGTTTATATTTATAAATATTTTTATTTTTTATTGTTTCTTCTACAATAGTAACATGTTCATATAACTATTATTATGCAGTAATCGATTTTTGTTTTTAATTTCTATTGTTATTCATGTTTTGTAAAACCCATTCTACACGTAAAATATTGTAAATTTTATTTATTTTTAAATGATATATATGTAACTTGTACAACCATATTATTCTACAATACCCAAGCTAGGCTCTATTTGTATGGGGGACCCCCCAAAACAAATAAATTCTATCTTTTTTCCATTATTTTAACTTTTTATTCTCTTATACGTAATCAGTATATTTTGATAGATTTTACAATATCTCAATTTTCTATTCCATCAATATCTATTATTTTCTTATATAACTAAGATTACCTTTTTTCATTTGTCATATTATCTTATGCTGATTATGTTTATTTCATTAATCCGTACTTCGTTGCCGCTATTATTATTTTTTTCTTAATTCTCTGTTACTGTTATTATTCTACTTACTTTAAGTTTATTCTATAACAATACTTATTCATCTCTTTTTACTCAGTCTGCCGGTGTTCCTCAAGGTAGTATCCTAGGTTTACACTTTAATTCCTTTACACAGTTTATACAGCTGACATCCCAACCCAATCCAACACTGTCATCACCACCTATGCCGATGACACGTGTATCCTATCAGTTAATAACGATCCATCTATTGCATCCCAAAATCTCCAATCACACATCACAAGCCTTGAAGAATGGTGTCAAAACTGAAGGATTAAAATAAATTCCAATAAATCCCATCAAATTACCTTCACTATTCGCCGTAAACCTATGACTTCCTGTCCTACAGTACCCTTCAACAATAGCCCTCTTATCCCTGTCGAAAAAATCCGATACTTAGGACTCCACCTTGACAAACCATCATAAAGTCACCTTAAAATCACCTTGACAAACGACTCACTTGGAACCCCCATACCAGACTGAAACGACTAGAAACCGAACCGCCCGACGTTTTCGATTACTGCAGCACTTACTAGACAAACGCTCTAAGCTTTAAATCAATTATAAACAACTCGTATATATGACAATAATAAGACCTATTTGGACTTACGGAATTGAGCTTTGGGGTTCCACTAAACCATCGAATTCCTCACGTATCCAATCCTTACAATCCAAAATCCTTCGTAAAATCCTCAACGCTCCTTACTTTGTCACAAATAAAATCATCCATAGACCTTAATGTTCCATATGTTTCCGATTTGGCCCTATCCAGATACCTTTCCTTCCATAACAAACTGCAGAACCATCCGAATCCTCTCGTTTCAAATCTTGCTTCCTCCTCGATCCCTGATAACCCTGCGAGGCGTCTGAAAAGAAGATGGCCTCGGGATCTTCTAATATAGAACTTTAATTTAAGTTCTACCAATAGGTAGTTTCTCTTCATGTTGTACATGTCATGTTACCAATTTCACATTTACTTATTGTATTTTCTATGTAATACAGTTGTAAATTCCATTAAAATAATAAAAAAAATATTCTACCTACATTTTTAGTCCATATCATTCACCTTTTCAATTTTAATTCCTTATTATTCAATGCTTATAGTTTCTCATACCTATTGTTATCTGGCCTGTACATATTGTTCTTCTTAGCCCTGATGAAGGCTACTTCGTAACGAAACGTCGGTAATATAAAAATAAATATAATTGTTTTTGTTTTTTTTAATTGATGCTCTCAAGGAATGAATGTCGACCTTCCAATTCTGATTTGTAAAAGTTTGGTTATGCCTGTAAAATAACTCCCTAGGTATCAAAAATGGCTCGATGGATGAAAGAAAAAACAATAGAATAAACACATTCAACAACGATATTTTTCAATATTTTGAGCTCACACTGTATACTCACAAGAACACTTACAAACTACACATATTACTCTTCATGTGGCTTCGACAAAGTCGGATAATGAGATATATTTTTTTCAGTTTAATTAAATAGATTTAACGCTACTTAACAAAACTCAATAAATCGCTAATTGTTTCAGTTATAAAAGCCGGACAGGATCGTTGGAAAATGTCGTTCAATTGGAAGACGGAAGAATCGACATTGAAGAAGTACGAAGAAAAGGTCATCGAAGATTTCGGCCAAGCTTTCGAGGAGATCGGCGAGGATGGATTAGAACAGGTGGAAGCGGTCATGGAGGACCACGCCAAGTCTGCCAACATGCATCGGGTCCGCGAATTGATTCACACGATGAAGAAGAAATACAAACTGGAAGCACCATCTATAATAAAGTTATTCGATACGCAAAATGAGAAATTCCTCAAGACATTGAACCTTACCGAGAAAATATTCAAGACGGAATGGGACAGGTTCCTCGAATATCAGGCGAAGAAGGACTGGATGCAGAAGATAATAAAAGAGGAACATCTGCTGAACCTCGAGGACGATGTGAGGAAGGTCGATTCAGAAGAAATGGAATACAAGCGAAGGATGGCACGCCTCATGGTAACATCCTCTGTATTATTCTATCAATAATAAACTAATGTAAATAATAATAGTAACAAACAATCCATCCTCTACAGTTTTAAGTATTCCTTTTATTTTGGATTGGAATAACCAACAGCTGATTAGGAGGAAAAACAAAAGACAGTTGAGAGAGAGGTGGCGGAACCTCGCGAGTGTTGAGGCACGCTAAGGATTTGGTTGTGTGAAATACTTTAGTTTTACGGTGTACAACGGATTTTCTTTTCCTATCCATGAACCTGTATTTATCAGCGAGTGCCGCTTGATTTTATAAGTTGGTGAATGAGCATTTTCACAGTTTAAAGAGGTGGACTAGGGAGACACTGACGACGCCAGTTCGAATAAGTTCCCGCTTCCTCAGATAACTCAATGTGCCGATTGGACAGAGCTCAACCATTGATGTTTTGTAAATATGTACATATAATTTTTTTTTTCCTATCTATTTTTTTTTTTGTATTAGATTGTAAGGTATATTGTATATTTGTAGGTTAATGTTTAGTTCTATAATAATTTTATATTCTTTTCTTTGATAATTAAAGTTAATTGTATTTTCTTTGTTTTCTTATGAATCTAATTTCTTGTTCATAATTTTCATTTCCTTTAACAGTTATTTAAATCAATAGAAATAAGTAAATTCATCATTAGTATTAATAATTATATGTTAACATTATCGATTAGGGGTGGTCGTCTCCTGTATATATCTGTTGGGAAATACATACATATACCAATACATAAAAATATCGATATTTATCCAATACTTATTGATAGTAAATTTCGACCAACGAAAAGAAAAAAAGGAATCAATTGGAGAGATATTTTCATATTTATTATCCATTTTTTTGACACTTTTATTTACTGTAGATTTTTTTTTTTAAAGGAACTATTTTCCTATCCAGTTTACGTTTAACGTTAAACTAGTAAACCCGTGCAAAAATTTGCAATATTTTATTGTTCTGTGATCAAATAATAAATTAACAAGAAATAAAACAATGAAACATATCATAAAATAAATCAATTGTTACTTTCTCGCTAAATATAATCGACAAAGGAATAAAAATTAATTTAAAACTTCATTAATGTTTGGAACCAACATGTTTACAAATTTCATCTTTGTTAAAAAAAAGGAAATCTTCAAAATTATTGGCTCAATCTTGAGATTTGGTAAAGAATTAACGATGATTTGGCTCTCCGACAAAAAACACCTTCGATAAATAATATAAGTTCCTCCTCTCTTGGTCATAGGGTCCTCAAATCGACATGCATTCCATGACAGTACTACAATTAACATAAGGTTGTGTTGATGCGACCCCCATGCCTTTCGTTATCTCGAAATAGTACGTTTTTGGGCTTAAGAACGCAGGATCCGGATCTTGCTGTACGCATCAAAATCTTCAAAGTCAAATTTGTCCCGTATCGATATACAGACGTACCACCGTTTCAGTATTGAAGCCTAGAAAAATGTTTAAATCGACTTTATTTATTTTAGAAAGAAAAACAAAAGCGGAGAATACGATTCACTGAACCCTCGTGAAATTCTGAATCCAACGGTACCCAATTCATGGTATTTGAGCAGGAGCTTATATTTGGTACCGAACCTCACTGTAATAATATAAGTGGGGATGGGGAAGGGATAGCAATGTTCTGTACAAAGAATAGACTTTTCATAAATTAGTTATAAAATTAATGTTAGAAGAATGTACGGAATTAAGAACATTTTTACAACAATTATATAAAAATAACATTACATAGATGATAGGATAATGATATAAATATTTCAACTTGAAAATGGATAAAATTGCCTGAAACGTCGTCGAAATAAATAAAAATGAATTAAAGCATGAAAAGATGGTGTAAGAGTTAAATAAAGTTATTTTCTCAAAATTATTAATTTTAGTAAAAAAATAAAATAATAATCTAAAAGGAAATACCCTTCACTGAAGAGCACATACGAAGGAAATATTTTTTTTAAAGAAAAATACCTGAGAAATATTGCTTTAATTAATTTTTACTTAAACTTGCCTGTATGTATCACGTATAAAAGGGTTGATAGTAGACAACAAAGTCTACAAAAAATTTTCATATAAACAATTGCCCAATTTCCAGCTGAAAAGTAGGAAATTTGAGATCTGTGTTTTTTTTATGCGAGACACGTTTTTTGTCGAATAGGACGTGATAACATAAAAAATATTTGATTTAAATAATTAAAAATTACTCCATAGTTGACCAGACAAAGTTTATTTTAAACTAAAGTAGAGTTGTCATTGTTGAAATTATTTAAAGAGGACTAGTTTAAAGTTTAAAAAAAGCAATAAATTACTTTTGATGTTTTGTTGTCGTAAACCAACGACTTCCTATCCTACAGTTTCCTTTAACAATACTCCACTTATCCCTGTTGAGCAAATCCGATACCTAGGACTCCACCTGGACAAACGACTAACTTGGAATCCTTATACTAGACTGAAACGACAAGAAACCGCTCGACGTTTCCGATTACTTCAGCACTTACTAGACAAACGCTCTAAACTTCCCATTAATTACAAAAGACTCACGGACTTACGGAGTTGAGCTATGGGGCTCCACTAAACCATCGAATTCCTCTCGCATCCAATCCTTACAATCCAAAATCCTTCGTAAAATCCTCAATGCTCCTTACTTTCTCACTAATAAAATTATCCATAAAGATCTTAATGTCCCTTATGTTTCAGATTTGGCCCAATCCAGATACCTATCCTTCCATAATAAACTTCAGAATCATCCCAACCCTCTCGTTTCTAACCTTGCTTCCTCTTCAATTCCTGATAACCCTCCGAGGCGTCTGAAAAGAAGATGGCCCCGTGATCTCCTAATGTAGTCATATCATTAGAGTGCTACCAATGGGTAGTTACTCAGCAAGTGTATTCATGTCATTATATCAATTATGTCCAAATTTACTTGATGTATTTATGTAATACAGTTGTAAATGTCATAAAGAAATATAAAAAAAAAAAAAAAAAATGTTTTGTAAACATCCTTAAACTCTACTACATATACCCAACTTTTAAAAAAACTTCCTCGTGTAAGTTTAAAAGTTTAATTGACCTAAAAGGCGTGTCCTCAAATTAATCTAATATTTTTCCCATTCTTTAAAAAAATGTCTTCCCAAATACTCATTAAACTCCAATATTTCTTCTATACCATCACTGTACTTCATTTTAAATTTATAATAACATTAATGACATCTGACATGCAGGATAAGATTGAGAAGAAACGGGAACTCTGCAAAGCAGCGTTACAACTCGCATCTGGCAAACTGTCCGGTGGCAAGGAGAGCAGAAAGCTAGTAGAGAAGTTGTCGGATGATGCACTACAGCTGAAGGAAAACCTGATGAAGATAATAGCCGCCTTTCATAAAGGCCTTAAGGAACTTAGGAGTAAGCGGAAGAAGAAGACCAGAAATAAAAAATACAGAGGCTTCATTGACGAACAATGCGACATATGTCAGAAGAACGAAGAGGTAATAGCGTCTGACGCAAATTTAAAATTATATGGTCTAAGTAGAATATATATTTTTAAAAAAAAAGGTTATTATTACTTGGTCCTGAACAAAACCTTTTGTGTAAAAACAGTATTTATTATTTAACCCACCAGTATTTTACCAATCCAGCGATCGTTATGAAAAGTTGAAATAATTGCGAGAGCGTTGTCAAAACTGAGTATATAATTTTAATACAGGAGGAGGGAACAATACATTTGAGGATGGAGAAATTAATGAATGAATGAAATGAATGAAAAAATAATTTTATTCTGGGACTACTGTCCCCTAAGAATAATAACAGAGTTACAAATTTATGTATCTTAGTCTGACATAGTAAAAATACCAACTAATTTATTGTTAATTGTTATTTCAATTGTACAATGGATTGAAATTAAACATTGTATAGATGCAAGTAATTTTACATGTTAGGGGAAGTTTGAATGTGGAGTAGGTGTTGGAACAGGAGTTGTTTGAAGGAATTTGTGGATGAGGATTGACGCATGGAGGTAGGAAGCGAGTTCCATAAGGAAGCAGCACGAATGACGAAGGATTTGCTGAAGGAGAAGTTTTATGGGAGGGAATATATAAGTCTATAGGTTGAGACCTAGTATTGATAGAGTGGATAGAGGAGAGCAGTAAGGAGTTCTAGGATGTAGGGAGGGTTTTTTGTTCTGAAGACTTGGAAAAGGAAAACGCCAAGAAGGAATTGTCGTCGGGAAGTAGGATGAAGCCACTTCAACTCGGTGTACCATAATGAAACATGTGAACGCCTGGGGATCCCCAAAATGTATCTTTTGAAACAATTCATGAGTCTTTTTAGTCTCATTTCCAGCCTGGCAGATAGCCCTCCATACACCAAGCAGCCGTAGTCCAAGTGGGGGAATACAAGTGAGGTTACAAGGAGCTGTCTGGTTTTTACTGGTTGTCTAGTCCTCAATCTTTCTTCTTCCCATACCTTAGTAAATAAATTAGTCTTTATTTCCTAATTAGTTTCTTTTAGAATGTTGAAATGACCTGTAACTGATGATAATATGTAAGTTTTTTATTTTTTGCTACTTAATTTTAAATTTGTTTCTGTGTTCTTTAAACAAAGAAAAGCATTAGTTGTATTTATTATATACACACAATGAATGTACTGCATACCAATATTTCGAACAAGCGACGCCCATTGAGTTAATGCGGAAACTGGAAATACGGAAGACAATGCTGAGTTTGTGTTGAGTACTTAGGATTAAATCATATCTGTCTTAGATATTTTCGTTTATTATTTTCAATAATGAACCATTTTGATAGAACAAAAAATTAAAAAAATTACTCCCCTCTCAAAATTTGAAGTTTTACGTTTCAGGGTACGTAGAATTCGAAAAACGAATAATTTAATAATTTTTTTTTGTCCGTCCGCCGTCCGCACATTTTCTCCAAAATTACTGGACCGATTTTTTTCAAATTTAAAATTAGAGCTCACCAGAGGCTGATCCTCTTTCATCGAGATTTCTATTCGCCTTTTCCTTTCAAGATGGAGACCGAAAAACCTGCGTTACTGTAGACTGTCTTTTATATGTTCTACTTCAAAGGTTATATCCTTTGTTTTGTTTTTTGAACGTGTTACTGAAGCAATGCTAATTTTTTTTAGCATTTACCAATGATTAAAAATAAAATGTTTAGTCCAATAATTAGAATCACCTTTTATTTCTTTTTCTTTGTCACTAGACAGGTAATGTTACTTTAGATGAATAATTTTTTGGAAATAATAAAAAATTTTGAAATAATTTGCAACTTTTTTTTCATTTTTATAGATGAGCTATGTTTTGTTGTTATTTGTTTTAGCTTTATTATTCTTGTTTACGTGCTATCTGTATAATGACGACTCATTTTGCCTTTTGATGCATGACCTTATCATACTCAGGCGTCAATATTTTAAAATATTTATTCTCACCTTTTCGATCGATCTTCTGTTTCGAATTACTTTAAAGCTTGTTATGTTTTATATATCATGCTTATTCAAACTTTCAAAGTTATGTGCGTAAATATGAAGTCCTTAAAAAATACCACTATTTATTTATTTTACTCTAAGTGTTTTGTTTCCACTTGATTTCCCGTGCGAATGATTCACATCACTTCAGTATACAAAAGTTAAAAAATCATGTATTAAATTTTGTGTAGAAGGAGAAATTATTTTTTTCTAGATCGATTATAAAGGTTCGTTATTGAAAATAATAAACCAAAACATGAACTCAATAGACTGTAATAAATAGTTTAAATAAAGCTCAATAGGCTGTATTATTGTACACAATGGTAAGATTTAAATGATTTTTTTTTCGGGTCAATATTAGCAAAGTATATCTCACTGCTAAAGGTGACAGGTTCGAGTCCAGTTGTAGCTATTTATTTATGATTTATTCTTTTACCTCAGGCATGATTCCTACCTAATACAACTAAGAGAAAAAATGGAGCGGTTGGCCATGATCCCTTTTCACTACACCTGATTTCATGAGGAGTAAACTCTATATAAGACTGAATAAAGGCCTGACAGTATGTTTCGATATTCACTTTTAGTTATTTCTATCGCGCAACCAACATTTTTGTCTTACTTTAAACTGTCAGTTTAGTAATAATATATATATATATATATATATATATATATATATATATATATATATATATATATATATATATATATATATATAAGTAATATTCTTAAGGTTTATTGGCTTGTAAAAAAAAACTATTTATCGTTCCCTTACAGGTATGGGAAGAAGAAAGATTAAGGACTACACAACTCTCTGAGCACATGACCGCAGAGGACGCCAGAGATTTCCACACGAGGATGGTAAGGAGTGGAGGAATGCGTGGGCTGGTGGATCAGTTGAAGATCATTATAGACGACGATTTGCCATCCAATATCGCCTTGCCGAAATTCTTTGCCGCAACGATACACCCGGAAAAGGCAGATACCATCTACAAGGAAATCGTGGTAATTACCAAATTCCCTGGATCTATCTAAAACTCAACTACTGGATATTCTATATTTACTTGATTTGTTTTTGGAATGCCTGATATTATATTTATATATCTAAGTATTCGACTGATTATAAAAAGAAAAGACATAATTATTGAAGTAGATAATCATAATTAGAGACTTGATTTTCGTGAAGTAAAAATGTGCAATGAAATCTCAAAATATGTAAAAATGTGTAATTAAGGCGTAAAAACGTGAAAAGTCCTCAAAGCTGCTTAATTTATAATATTAATACAACGAAATCTTATCAGATCTTCAGTTAAACGAGAGATATAGGAGATTAAAATACAACATTGAAAATGAAATTCCAGATTATTATCCATTCCAAAGTCCAGATATATATATATATATATATATATATATATATATATATATATATATATATATATATATATGTATACAATACAACAATATATCACGATTAACCTAAATCTTAAAGAAAGAGAAATTTAATAATAATAAGAGTTACCTAAATCTATTCAATTTGATTCAGTAGAGAATTCTTATTATCAAATACTTTAAGCAAATTCAATTCCAAGAATATTTCTCACTTATTATTATTCCTTCCTTTTGTAATTTTTTTATTTTATTTATTATTTATTTATATGATATTTACTGTATTAGTATGAATACATCAAGTACATAGGAATATTATCACATGAAACACGCTTGTTGAGAAACTACCCATTGGCAGCACTCTAATAATTTGTCTACATGAGGAGATCACGAGGCCATCTCCTTTTCAGACGCCTCGGAGGGTTATCAGGAATCGAAGAGGAAGCAAGGTTAGAAACAAGAGGATTCGGATGGTTATGAAGTTTATTATGGAAGGATAGGTATCTGGATTTGGCCAAATCGAAAACATATGGAACATTGAGGTCTTTATAGATTATTTTATTTGTGACAAAGTAAGGAGCATTAAGGATTTTACGAAGGATTTTGGATTTTAAAGATTGGATACGAGAGGAATTTGATGGTTTAGTGGAGCCCCACAGCTCAACTCCATAAGTCCAAATAGGTCTTATTATAGTCATGTATATGAGTCGTTTGTAATTCATTGAAAGTTTAGAGCGTTTGTCCAGTAAGTGTTGGAGTAAGCGGAAACGTCGAGCAGTTTCTTGTCGTTTCAGTCGAGGATTCCAAGTGAGACGTTTGTCCAGCTGGAGTCCTAGGTATCGGATTTGTTCTACAGGAATAAGTGGGGTGTTATTAAAAAATACTATAGGACAGCAAGTCATTGGTTTACGACGAAGGGTAAAGGTGATTTGATGGGATTTATTGGAATTTATTTTAATCCTCCAGTTTTATTTTAATCCTCCAGTCCTTTTGTAATGTTAAATTCGATTTTTACTTTTCATGGAATTATTTACATTTCTCCTATTTTTCTATCTTGAATAATGAATTTAAAATGAGCAATATAGTAAAATAAAAAAGTAAATATTAACAAACACATTTGCATTATAAATCATTTAATTTATTGCAAAAGTAAGACCAAAACGTGCAATTTCGTGCAATATAAAATTTAAATATGTTATTCTACAAATCCTGAAACGGACAGATATTCGAATTCGGGATTTTTACAAGCAAGCAAATAATATATGCAATAACGTGGAAATCCGGTGTCTGATGACGATAAAACAATATATAAGTTTTAAATAAATATTATTCTTAAATTATGTGTTGGATCAGGATTATTTTTAATTGAATTTATCATTTCAGAATTACAATTGCATGAGGTCGCTGCGAAAAGAACTAAGCAAGATAGATCGACATACGGTAAAGATAAGAAGGCAAAGCATATTTGAAGACAATGAGCAATATCTTCCGAGATATTGCCCTTTCTGCGGAAGGAATTGGTATATAACAAAACATCAATATATAGATTATTGCTAAGTAGTAAATAACTATGTATCGATAGATTTATTAGTGATATACTATGTATCGATAGATCCTTCGGATTTTTTTCATTTTTTTTTTCAAATTGATTATTTGTTTATTATGATTATTATAATAGAGTTCTGAGAGTACATTCACACCATATTTACAAATTCAAAAGAAAATAAGCTATTTCAAATAATATAAAGATATAAAAGAACAAAATAAAATATCATAGTGAAGGAAGAAAATATAAATACCTAGTAATAATAGAATGAAAATAAATGAATAAAATAGAATTAAAATTATCTTAATAAAAAGTAATGAAAATTATTTATTTATTAATTTATTTCCACCCTCCCATGCCACAATGGCAATACGGGTGTTTTAGGCATGAATACTTAATAACACACTACTACTAGATATGCACATATATAGTTCTTCTGTTTTATCTTCTTCTTTCTTCTTTCGGCCTAGCTTTCAGAATCTGGAGGTCTTCCTTGCGCTTGTCCTCTTCTTCTGCGAGCACCAATATGGAAGTGAGCGGGCCCCACTGCAGTCTTCCATCCATTTATGAAATCCTTAAACCGCGGGAAATTTTCCTCACTGACTAACTGAGGAAACTCATTTTCAGTGAGGACATATATTCCCGTGGCTCTTGTCATTGTCACTCTTAACGTTTCAAACACGGTGCAGGTCGTGACCACGTACTCTACAGTTTCCGGAACACTACAGATTGGGCATAGAGGATCTGCATCAATGCCCAGACCCTGAAGGTTAGCTCGAAATCCTCCATGCCCCGTGAGGAACTGGGAAATCCAGTAGTCCGGGAGGACCCACTTTGCCTGAAGCCTCGACTGTACTGTGGGAAAGTACTTCCTCAATGTACTTCCTTTAGGGGTTGTTACCCACCGCCGGTTCCATGCTTCAATTGTATCCTCCCGGAGTATCTTCTTCCTATTAGGCGCTTCCATAATTAAAAGTAATGAAAATAAACATCTTAGATGCAGGCATACCTATTTATACAATTTTCAGTCGGCCATGGGAACTCCGAACCATACTTATCCCTTCCTTCTTCCTCAACCATTTCACTGGTATTAAAAGCCAGCGGAGATTGAGTAATTTTTTTTTTTTTTTTTCATTAGAGTACAATTGAAAGAGGTAGAGATTATTCTTGGCGTTAGGACATGATTGATGAGTGACTAAGCTTTAGCACGCTAGTAGGGGCGGCGCATGGTTTTTTGGCGCCCAGGACGAGATTTTTCCTGGCCCCCTCCCCTAATCTAAGCCTATTTGACTAGTATCCTATTACCATGTTTAAATAAAGAAAGAAAGATGAATAGAGATGGTGGTAATTATTAAGCCGTGTAGTGTGTGGTAGGAACCCCTTTTTCTCGAATTATTAAGATCCGTCTAAAACTTAAAAAAAAAAATAATAATAAGGCATAGCTAACCTGAAGGTTCGATGCCGATACCACCAATCGATATCCACATTCTTCCATCCACCGTGCGCCGTCTAAAACTAATCCTACCACATCAGCCTTACTAGTGTTGTCCAAATGCGAGACCGAGACGACTCTTGGTCTTTCAAACTCAGTCTTGACCATGATCTTGGTCTTGCGCAAGAGTCTCACAACAGTCTTGCAGTTACTTATTAGCTTATTACAGTAGAGATATTACTGTAATTCTTTAGATAGAAGAAACCTAACTAAGCCCGAATGAAAAATTATAGGAGTTAAATGCAAAAGTATATTGGTTATACCAATTCTTTACATACAGTAATTAATATTGTCGAGTATTGTAACTATTTTGTCTTAATTTTTATTTAAAAAATCGATTTTTTTTACTAGTTCTGGTATTGGTCTTGGAACAGTTAGGCGGTCTTGGTCTCGCAAAGTGCAAGACCAAGAATGATTTTGGGCAACACTAAGCCTTACCGCAATCTTCCCACCTTCGCTTTGGTCTACCCCTCGGATGATTGCCAGTCGTTACAGCAAATATAAATTCTTTAAAGATTCTTTCATTACTAAGCCCAGTGATTTTGCATGCCCATTTTATTCGCCTTAACTTAATCATCTCAATTATATTAACCGGATACAGTTCTCCTAAATTCTTCGGTTGACTCAACCTTCTTCGATCCGAATATTCTGCGTAAAACTTTATTTTCGAAAAACTTGAGACATTGCTTTCCCCTAAATGTAAGCGGCCACGTTTGTTATTCATGAAGAACCGTGGGAAGAATAATGATTTTGTAAAATCAAATTTTTAAGTTTCGAGCCAAAAAAAAAGTATAATAAAAACACCGACTACAGAATTTTTTTAAAACTAAACTAAACACACCATGCTACATTTTAATTGTGTATTACATATGTATCATATCGTCGCCACCATGTTAAAGTGTACCTTTATATGAATTGTTTTTTATAGTATATAGTTATTTTTTTTTCATTTTAAATAATATTCATAATATTCATTTTCTTTTTTTTTTTTTTCAGAATGGCACTTGCACAATTCAAGTATCTAATACAACGATAAATAATATGATTATTGATAGAAACAATAATCAAACATTGTGCCATCAGAGGTTCTAATCAGACACTCCTCGATACCAACTGTATAGAATAAAGATTTGTTTTAATTATGGACAATTTATATTATTTTCTAAACACGAAAATTAAGTTAAGATCATGACCCATTTATTATCTAGGATATATTTATGATCTGAAGTGTTATTTTATCAAAAGCTTTGAGAACATCAAAGTCGACAGTATAATTCAAAAATCAATTTTTATTTATTTATTTATTTTCTTTTACTTTTACTTACCTATATTTGTAGGGGAGTGGGATAGCTCAGTGGTAGGGCACTGAGCTTCCAATGCTAAAGGTCCCAGGTTCGAACCCCAGTTCATGGCAGAAAATTTATTTATCTGTTTCATTGGCCGTGGGGCGACCCTAGGTCGGAAGACCATCCTGGGGCACACCCAGCCTCTATAAAGTAGGTACCCTTAATTAAAAAAAATATTAAGGGGAAAAACCTGGCGGTTGAGCGTGATCTCGGTCAAATCACCTCCTTGCACAACCGTTGACCTAGAAACAGTGCTTTCCCTAAATAGTACTGAACCCCTTTATGGGTTGTAGTGGTACAGGTATTTATTATTTTTTTTTTTTACTTATATTTGTAATATATAGTAAGGGCAATTATTGTGATCGTGAAAATTTTCGAATCTGAGTTTCGATACACGTTTTGAGGTCCCTTGAGTCCAAATAACGAAGTCCAGCAAAATGGTCTGAGTGTGTGTATGTGAACAGTCTAGCTAAAAACGAAAAGTTGTACGAAAATGAAATGCTTATTTGAGATTTTTATAATTCTTGGATGTTACAGCAACATTTTCATAAAAATCTGCAAACCTGAAGTGGTACTTTATATAATCAATTTAACACGTTTTTACGATTTTCTCAAAAACGATTTGATTAAACTCTGTCGAGTGTATTATTAAGCAGTTTTTGATATAATGTAGCTTTTATTTCCATTGGTGTTCTTTTTTAATTTCCAATATCCTTAAATTAAATTACCCTTTAATTTTATGTATTTGAAATAATTAAACTTTTCATATAAATATTTGATACAAAAAATATTTAAATATGAAGTATGAAAGAATTTGATAATTATCCAAAGGAGATAGAAGAGATCGTAACGGATAATAGTTGTAATGAAAGAACCAAAGGAATACCCGAGCTCACCCGAAAGAGTACAACTGGCTTCTATACGTAACATGAGCTTAATATAATACGGACTCCGACAATATTATGTTTATATACATAGAGAGTCTCCATAAATGTAATCATTTGTATTATTTAATATTTAATTGTATAAAATACAGTGATATAAAAATTAAAATTTGTCTTTTTTTTATTATGACTATTTAATTACTCTGTATTTTTGTTTATGCATCTCTAAGGCTCCTTAGCTCACATTTCTGTCTTTCTGTATTATTCTAAAGGGACTCGTCATGGAATAAATAAATTATTATTATTATTAGGATATTCAAACAAAAAAAATACCCACAATGAAATGTAAATAAATAGAGCGTTAATAATTTTTACTTTCACTCTACCTTTGTTTGAAAATACTTATTTCTGCTAAGAAGAGGGTGGTAAGGGAAAGTCATGTGATGCGCGCACCAGATTTTTTAATTAGGCCTCTCTTTATCGGCTTCTGCAATAAGAGACCTTGCAGCCCAGTACTATTCCGATTTGGACGACGTGGCATATCTTATGTTCAACAAGCGCGAGTGCTAAATTCATATGTGCTACTGACATAAGTTGCAATGTGGAGAGCCTGCCACTCCTATTCCATCCAGATGTTTCCTATCCTAAGGTAGTCGAGACCTGTTATCCTTCGAAATTCTGCCACAGTTTCCTTTCTCGACAGGTTCATGGGAAATCGATCTCTGCTTCAGTAAATAATTTAATAAATATGGTTATATTTAACAAAATGATTGTTGAAAAAAAATCTCCATGTCTTCATTCCAAGACATGTAATAACTGAAAATAACTAGAAATTCTTGGAGATCCATATGATATGAGAGTTGAAAACATTATAATATCTGTACAGACAATGAGTAAGTTGATTCCAGAATAGATGAAGTATAGAACTGTGTTATTTATAAAATTATAAATTTTGCCACTAGAAAAATCTCTAAATTTAATAATCAAAAAAGTTGAAATTGTAGTCTGCATTCTTTCAACTTAAAGGCTCATATGGACAGACGTCTTGGCAAGCGAACTAGAGGGCATTGATAAACTCGCTAAAACTCTGAGAAGAGGAGCAAATCGGCCTTACAAGTAAATTAAGATATGACAAAATATCTTAGTTTTAGCTCAAAAAACATGATCCGTGTAGAAGAGAAATCGTTGAGGAAAGTAGACAAATTCAAATATCTTGGCTTCATGATGACATTAATGAATGACCAACAAGATCTAGGCAGAGTTTATTTTTTGATAAGTATTGAAATACTGAAAAATCTCTACAGTTTATTATTATTATTACGTTATGGTTCTGCAAGAACACGGGCCTCCTTCACGACAGCCAACCAATCTCCACTGTCTTGTGCTATTTTCCTCCATCTTCGAGCGCCAAGCCGTCTCATATCGTTCACCACATCCTCCAGAATTTTTTTTTCTTTTTCTTCCCTACCTCGCCTTTTAGGCTATACGGGATTTTCCGAGGCCAAGACATTTAAAATCTCCTCCAGCATCGGAACGCGAACTCGTACTTTTATTAATCTCATAACTTCGGTTATCTGGTTGCCGGGAAACTCGCAGTGTTGTGCACACGCGTTATCCCATTGGGCCAACTCGCTCCCATCTTCCAGCCATCTGATCCAAGAGCGCCCTCTACTTCATTTGCCATCCGGCTTCTCATGCAGCATCCTCTATGGCATTCTTTCCACATGATCTAACCATTTGATTCTGAGTCTTTTTATCAATACCATTATATCAGGTTCACCATACTCTAGAATTTAAGTACGTACAACACTATTACAAACTAGTTGTGGTGTACGGCTGCGAGACATACAAGTTTCTCAGGAATTATGGAACGTGAAAAGCTCAGGACTCAAATTGAAGCTGACCGCGAGATTATCACCTATACTACGAAGTGCTGGCAGCGGCGGAGGTCGTATCTAACCCGAAGGTCTTAACCGATACCCAACCTAGCCTCACACTCTGGACAGGACACAGAGGTGTGAGCACACAACTGGTGATCATGGAGAGACTAAATTCTACAATACAAAGATTTTCACCATTCGTCACCACACTGAAACCAGATGGCTGAACGCTAATGTCGTACAGCGATCAGTCGCAAACACCAGACCACTACGACCGCCACGCCCAAGTAGTGCAAGTACTCTTGCCGTCCACAGATAAAAATAAATTTAAATCTGACGTCAGAGCATATTTGGTCTCAGGCTCCGCGATCATTACGATCGCTACGGCTTAACATCAACTGCCAATGGCACAGGAGGATGTCTGCGCATCCGCAGTCAATGAGAGACGACAAGAACCGAAGGCTCAAGTCGAGAACAGCCCCC